TTTGTTCTGTAATCCCAGTAAGATTGCCAGCCATTCGCCCCGGCCCTAATCCCAGCCCCGCGCAACACCACCCTCCATTGGCTGCCATTTACATACGGGATTAGCCCGCCCGGCCCGCCCCGCGCCCTGGCCTGGGCACCGCGGGGGGAGTGCTGCGCCCCCGCCCCGCGTCCTGCGCGCGCGCGCGCACGCGCTGCCCCAGCGCCCGCCACCAAGGGGGCCTGCGGGAGGGGCGCCCGCGGCCTCGGCGCCCCCTGGCTGCCCGGCGAGGCCCCTCCGTCGCTTCAGCGCTGGCCAGGGACGGATTAGGAAGCCCGGGCGCAGAGACCAGGCTGGAGGGTCAAGGTCACTCAGCGGGCGCGGGGAGGATCCCAGGAAAAGCGGCTGGGGCCTGGAGCGACCTTAGGCCGGTGCGCGTCGTCTGGGGGAACTGAAGTCAGCACGGCTGGTCACTCCCGCCTTGCCCAGGTTATCTTCCAGTGGCTTGGCCCAGGTACCTCTTTCAGCCTTTGTCCCCTGGCATGTGAAGGAAGGCGGTGACATGCCCAAGGTCGCAGTAGATCTAGTTGGACGCCGCAGGTCCCTTCTTGTCTCCAGGCAGCCCTCCTCCTGATCCCCTGACCCAGGTTTTTGCCACCACTTTCCCCCACCATACCAGGTGTCTTTCCGAATCAGGAAGCTCACCTCCCATTCTCTCCAAGGCCATACATGTTAACTCAGCCCAAGGAGTGCCCGGAGCCCTGTGCTAAGCTCTTGCTATGCTGGACACAAACCAGGCAGGCTCCAACCCCAGGGAGCTCCTTGCTTGAATGGAGAGAGCCAAATGTAGATTAAGAATCTGCTAGGTCCAAGCAAAACCCGCAGGGTCTCCCCACAGCCCCCTGGGTCCCTGTTGAACACACAGCGGGCACTTGGTAACCTTGGCTGGCCAGGGCTCCTCCTGGTAAGCCCACAAGTCTACCAGACAGAGCTTTTCCCTGGCAGGCCCTGTCGGCAATGCCCAGGCCAAGGCTGAGCCCAGAGGGGCTCCCGCACCCACAGGATGGCTTGCCCACAGAGGGTGTTGGCCAGAGAAGTGGGGATTAGGAGTGAGGACACACTCTTATCCCATGTTGCCCCCTGCCCACTTGAAGTACCGCCCTAGCTCCCTCATCACCAGGAGGCCTGGAGACACCCTGAGGCACTTTGTTGTGTGGTTCTTCTTAGACCCACATCCCCGCCCACCCTGTGCTGGCCCTGGTATGGCAACATGGCTGAGGGGAAGAGCCAAGGTCGGGAGCTTGACTGTTCAGGTTCACATCCTGGCTCTTCCTTTCACCACTGTGTGACCTAGGGCAAGGCAGTTCATCTCTCTGGGTCTCCACTCCCCCTTCCTGCAGCCTCTCAGTCAACCATAGCGTGGCCCCAGGGTGGATAACAGTGATGTTGGGCACCCTTGTTAAGCGTCTACTAGGCACCAGGCATAGTGTATATAAAATAGCTGTTCCTTATACTAAGTCTACAAGAGGGGTCCTATTGGCCTCATTTTCCAATGAGGTGAAGTGACTTGCTTAGGGACGTACAACATGTGAGTGGCGCTGTTGGGATTGGCTCCATAGCCCTCGTTTCGCCCATTGTCCTGTGGTCCCTGCATCATACCTGCACCTGCCCATGAGGTGCTGGTGGTGAGGCATGGCCTCAGTGGGTCCGGCTGGGGGAGGCTGGTCCCTAGAAGAGCTGGCTGACTAGGCTGTTGGTTTCTGGGCACAGTGCTTCCTGGACCCCAGATCCTGGGGCAGAGTGCCAGAAGCCTCTGGAGCCCAAGGCCTGGAAGAGCTGAGGCCTGGTGTGTGCTCAGTACTGCTCTCTGCAGGCAGAATCCAGAGCAGCAGTAATATAAGTGGAGCAATGGGGGTGGATGCCGCCACCCTCCTGCCTCTGGGCCGTCTTCCCTGTGGGAACAGCCAGCCTGACCCTAACCTTGTCCAGGCAGAGAGTGGGCAGTGTGGTGCAGCAGAAGGCCCTGGCTTGGCATGTCTAGGCCCCGTTCAGCAGCATGTGACTAGGGCATGATGATTGGCTCCGTGTTCACTGGCTGTGTGTCCTTGGCCAAATCAATTGGCCTCTCTGGGCCTCAGCTGCCTCTTATGCAAAATGGAGCTAAAATAGCCCTTTCTTCATAAGATTTATGTGAGGATTAAATGACATAAAATACAACAAAAACATTTAGCATGGTGCCTGGCATGTATTTGTTGGCTTCAGCTAGGGACAATGTCAGGCTCAGAGTCTGCTTGAACTGCTCTTCCTGGAGACAAAGACTTGGTCATGGACATACATGTTTTTGTCAAGTTCATGTTCTTCTCCTGTGAAGGGCAGCAGTGGCTCCCTCAGCTGTAAGGAGAGTTTGGTTGAGAAGTTCTTGCAAGTGGCTACTCCTCACCTTCAGGAACTTCTCCTGCCAGCCTTATGAAGCCCACTGGCACTGGCCCTGCCACATCCTGCCCCACACCTGGCCCGATCCCCCCCACTATGCAGGTGTGGAAACTGAGGCACCTCTCGCTGCCTTCTTAACAGCCTTGAAGCCACAGGACTTCTCCCGTTACAAAGCCCTTTCCATGCCCTTGTTTACTTAACCAGGTGGGCCTAACAGTACCCATTTCACAGATGGGAATGTAGGATGTGGGGTCATTTGCAGAAGTGAATGGGTGTGTACTGGGGCGTCCTGTTTCCCCATCAGCCCAGGAGTGACCAGCAAACTGGCCGCCAGGGAGAACTGTTCTTATGGACTCAACCCCCTGCTCCCCTGCGGTTTGGACCTAGACCTGGATCCCTGACCTCCATGTAGCATTTCTTTTCCCATGATTCTGGGCCAATTCTGGCTCTTTGTTCCTTGAAGGTAGGACTCCGTGGGGAGAGGGAAATAGAGAGACAACCCAGCCATCCCCAGCAAGGTAACCCTTCTCTGAACATTAGGGTAAGCCCAGAGGGAGCCTGGAGCTGGGATGCGCTGTATGTGACCACAAGGGACTGAAGATGAGGACAGTGAACCCAACACCCTCGTCTTTTGGGTAAGTACGCTGCAGTACTGAGAGGCGAAAGACTGACCCGCGGAAGCCCAGGGTGAGTGGCCGGGGTAGACCTCAGGACTCCCTATCCCCACCCGCCACTCCTTTTTACCATCTCCATGGGTTCCCTTGTATTTTCAAAAATATGATTTATCTGGTAATGGCTACTTATCCTTTAAAAATGAGATGAATGACTCTGGAATCAACTACCCCTCTTTATTTTCAGAGCAGCGTATCTCTTATTCCATCATGGAAACCAAAGGGAAGTACCGTATTTGCCGGCGTATAAGACGACTGGGCGTATAAGACGACCCCCTAACATTTCCACTCAAAATACAGAGTTTGTTATATACTCGCCGTATAAGGCTACCCCCTCTTCCGCACACCTTCCACACACCAAATAAAAGGTAAAACAATATCAGATTTGATTTCAACATTTATATTTATATTCAAATGCTTATGACATGCAGGAAAACTGTCACAAGGCTGTATGTAATCAAACATATACATAAATTGCGATTCACGATTTTGCGCTATCATACTGGGTGTATGGTCGGCTGTGTGCGATTTTGCGAGTGTGGTAAAATCGCATAACAGCAAAATCGCATAACAGCCGAGCATACACCCAGCAGCGCTGCTGATGCCTGAACGGTATGTGGAATGAAGTGGGCGGGCATCGGGAGGCCACTATGGCATGGGGCAAGCACTATGGGCAGTCTATCTGAAGTGTACCTGGCGTATAAGACGACCCCCCACTTGGAGGCATATTTTTCAGGGCCAAAAAATCGTCTTATACGCCGGCAAATATGGTAGACTTTCAACGACAGCACAGCATGCAGGATCCATGAAACAAGGGCCTTCGAGGAGGCCATAGCCTGTATTCTAGATGTGAACAGTCCCTGCCAGCCAGGGCGCTTAGGTGTTGTGTGGGCTGCAGAGGGGCAAAGGGTAGGTGATGGGCTTGTTTGGGGGCCCCAGAGTCTGTGACTTAAATCTCCAACCCTCTTTCCCCATGAAGGGCCATCCCCCAGGCCTCCTGGCACCTCCTTTCATCCCTGTTCTCCTGGATCTTTGTCTCCATAGGTCATCCAGGCTGCTAAGGACAGAAATCATTTCCTTCACTGAGGTCTTTGATCAGCAGAGTAACCTCTTAGAGTCCTCCAAGCCTTCTGGAACCCCCACAATAAAGCCCTAGAGTTGGGATTTCAGGTGCCCTGGCAAGCTGGAGCAGGGACAACTGGGACGCAGGGAGGTCCTCCTTTCGGACACGGGCAGATCTGTAGCCCAGCCTTGCAGGCCCTCATGTTGACCTTGGTGAGTACTCAAGGGTGGCGCTGACCAAAAGAAATAAGAAGTGACCCACAGGTGCACGCCACAGAGGAAATTTTAAATTTCCTTGTAGGCACGTTAAAAAAGTAAAAGGAAACAGGTGAAATGAATTTTAATAATGTATTTTATTTAACCCAACATATACAAAGTGTGCTCATTTCAACATGTAATATTTTTTAAAATTGAGGTATTTGTTTTTTGAGGTATACATTCTTTTCCTTACACTAAGTCTTTGACACCCAGTGTTTATTTTACACTCGCAACACATCTCAATTTGGATGAAACAGACTTTATTATGTGACTCATGGTTACTTATTGGACCATGCAGATCTGGGGTATAATTTTCCAACCCTTTTTAAGCCACAGAGCCTTTTTGCAATTGATTCTCACGTAAAAACAGATACAAGAGGTGAGCATGGTGTTGCTTTGGGTAGGAGCGGGAGTGAGGGTCCTGGAGCTGCCCTTGAAAATACTACTAATAACAATAACCGACATTTATTGAGTGCTTCTTCTAAGCCAGGCGTGGTGCTTAACGTCTCGCATCATGCCCCCTCTGTGGAAGAAATAGGCTCGGATTGGTGCCTGAGGCAAGATGGTCACCTTCACATGTCTAATGTCCCATCTGGAAGTGGGTATTACTGAGGGTGCTGGTGAGGCCTCCCTGACCCCTAGCTGGGAGGAGTTGGGACTGGGAGACAAAAGTATTGCCCCTCACATAGCCACCCCCAAGGACTCCTGCTTCCCAGGTCCCAGAGCCTCCAGCCTCTCACCTGCCCCCCACCCCAACTCCCCAACTACAGCAGGAACCAGCAGGCTTCGCTTTCTAGCAAGTACCAGGCAGCTGCTCTGCTAAGCAAATTTAGTCATAAATTAGTGAAGATTTAGGTCAACTTTAGGGCCAAAAAAGGAAAAACAAGGGGGAAGCACTTCAAAGCAATTTCCCGAGATACTCTGTTAGAGAGCTTTTGGGGCACTTCTGCTTAGTGTGTGGCTCAGCGGAGGGTTGGGGGCAGAGGGGACACCAAGCAGCCAGGCACCCTCTCCCTGGTAGAGCCCAGCACAGCAAGAAGCTGAAACTCAGCTGCATCATTAGGGTGGTTTCTTTTCAGAGCCTCAGTTTCCTCACCTGCAGAAGAGGTTTTTGTTACAGCCCAAGGCCTACAGCGAGTTCAACCCCAGCCCGGATATTGGCACACAGATAGGGACCAGAGATGGCAAGTGGACGAGCTGGAACTGGGGGTCATGTGGGAGCATCTTCCATCTCAGCTCAGCTCTTGACTTTGGGGGACCTGGGCCTCAGTTTTCTCCCCTTGTGTGCTTGTTAAGGCGCATGTCCGGGTCCTTCTAGGAGATGTATTGGCTCAGACATGAGGGGTAGAGAGGCCTAGGACTTTGCATTTTAGTAGAGTCCCTAACTCTTTGTGATACACATTCAAGTTTGGGGAGTATTGGCCTTCACACTCTCAGAGAGCCATTCAAGCTCTAGCATCTGTGGTCCAATCACACAGCCAGGCGGTACCAGCCCACAGCCATATCCCTTGTGCCACGGGGCACTCAATGCTGGCTTCTCTGTCACAGGCTGCCAGACGGGCCCTGAGACGGTAGGGGCCTGATTCCACACTAAAGCACCCTCTCTGCCCCAGGTGTCATGTACACTCCATCACTGCTCCTGGGAGCTCTGAGCCAGCAGTTATATGTATAGCAATGAAGGGGCCCTTGGCCCTGGAGCCAGAGGAGGCACCCAAATCAGCCTGAAGAGGGAATGGGGTTTGCCGAGGCCCATGAGGAATGGTGAACTAACTGGACAGTCCCCTCTGGCCTCCATGCCAAAGACCCACTGGTTCAGGGCCCCAGCACATGCTAAAATAGTTCTCTCCCACCCCAGGGTTATCTGGGAACCCAAGACCTTGCTGCACTCCCCACATCCCAGGAGAAGACTTACAACACAGATCTCCCTTTTTTCCCCACCAGCCTTCCATAGCCCCCACCCCCTCCAAGGGAAGGTCTGGCCCAGGCCTTGGAACCAAGTCCTTGCTTTTGCATCAGGGAGGCTTTTGCATGGTGTCTTTGCATGCACAGTCCTTCTAAACCCAGTGCCCTGCCTACCCCAACCAGCTCAGCTCCTTACTTATGCTGCAGATCTCAGCCTTCCTGACTGCACTGACAGGGCCACCCTCCCCACCAAGGCTCTCAGAGCCCCTTAGGAACTCTGAGCACCTGACCTGGTTGAAATTTTACATTGGGTGAGAGATTATTTCATCTCTGTCTAACTCATTAAACCCTAAGCTTATGTGAGGGCAGAAGTTGGGGGGTGGTCCTTGTGCACCTCGGCAACCCCAGCATCCAGCCTGGCACACAGTAGAGCTCTATAAACATTTGCTGAATGAATGAAGGAAAGAAAATGGACATCATATGTCCACTGTCAGGTGACTTGTTGGTCTCTTATTTCTCTCCATCTGTTTGTTGCTGTCTTTTTAGGTAGTTCTCCAGCAAAATGTGTGCATGGGTCTGTTTCTATGTCCTTGTTTCTGCCTTGGCCTCTGTGTCTCCTCCCATACTCTGTGTCTGATCCCAGCTGTCTCTCCTGATCATCTCTGTCTCTGTCTAAATCAGCTCCGTCTTTCCTGTGATGCTTGCTGTCATTTCTCTTTCTTGCTCTGTCTCCTTCTGAGCCTTTATCTCTCTCAGCTATCTTACTAAGGTCTGTTTGTCTCTGCCTCTGGGGCTCTGTCTCTCTCTGTCTCTGGAGGTCTCCGGTCCATTGCTCTGTGTGTGTGTCTCTCTCTCCTTGTGCCTCTGTCTCCGTCGTCTCTGTTCTCTGTCTCCTCCTCCAATTCTGTCCGCTGGAATCTTTCAAGAACAGCGAGAGGCATGTAATTGAGCTCGGGCCGTCTCCATGGTTGCAGCTGTGGAGTAACTGAAAGATCAATTTGGAACGACTGTCTCTGTAATAATTGTGCCTTAATAGTTTCTGTGAGTCAGAGTGGGGCTCTGTGTGAGGTGGCCAGGACCGCTCTGGGACCCTGGCAGGAAAGACCACTTGGAGCCCCCAGTACCCCTGGGCCAGGCTCTGGAGGGGACACTTGGCCTTGGTCAGAAAGAGAAGCGGGGGGTATTGGGTGAGTGGGGAGGGAGCCAGTCTCACCCCCACACCCTCCCACAGGTTTTCCTGCCTCTCTGCTCCTACCCGCTGTGCCCGCTTCTGTTTATAATTTATGCTTATGATCAGAATTATCAGCAATAATGATAACATGATTATAATTGCCGAGCTGCCTGGCTCAATTGCAGCGCTGTTGGTAAATATTATGATAGAGAGTAGCGTGAGGTCACTGCCTCCCAGAGCTTGAGGGACAGCATGGGGAATAGAAGTACCACAAGGGTTGCACGGTCCCTCCCCTGCTTCCCGCCAAACCCACCTACTCCTCTGCAGAGAACTCGCAGCTTGACCATTTGCTCATCCATTTTAACACCCAACAATCCTCCCCATGTCTAACTTAATTCATCCCTGCTTTAGGCTAGGCAGTAGCCATTGAGAAGCCTGAGGGGTGTGGGGCACATCATCTGTCACCCCACCAACGGAGGGCACTCCAGAGCTGTGGTGTGACTTCCACCTGGGAGGTGAGGCCGCTGAGAGAGGATGGGCCTTCCACATCTGAATTGGGTTTAACTGGTGACTTAGGCCCCCAGGAGCTCAGAGGTGGTCTGAGTGGTTTGGCAGAGGGCTAAGTAACAGGATAACACCACTGCTCTAGGCACAGGTCCTGGGAGGCAGGACGTTTCTAGCATCCAGAGACCCCCTTTCTGACCAGGAGAATTGAGGCTAGAGGCCCAGGGTAGCAACAAGGACTGCAACTTGCCTCATGTAAAAATAGCCCCTTTAAGAGAGCCCACCCAGATAATCCAAAGACGTGGTGAGATGTGCTCACTGCTGCCACCCAACAGGCCCACTCACTACATCTGTGCCCCCCAGCCTGGAATCCCCGTCAGTCTCTGCTGCTATGAAGTCCATGTTTAGAAAAGACTAGTCAATGAGGCCGTGAGCAAGGGCAGCGGTGCCCAAGGGGAGGGCCGAGGCAGGGATGAGGACAGGGTCGCACCCCATGCCACCCTGTGGGTGATGAAGAGAAGCTCAGCACCCCCATGTTCTGTCTGGGGACTCCGAGGCTCAGAGAGACTTGCCCGACTGCACAGAGCAGCAAGTGGCAGGGCAGGATTTGCTCCGGGCCCATTTGTGGTGACTTGGAGCCTCCCGGACAAGACCAGCCAGCCAAGCCCCAGTCCCTGATGTGCTGCATTATTCATAAGCCTGACATTCCCCCCCCCCCCCGGGGTAAACATTCAGAGCATTTCAAATCCACTTGCCTGCTCTGAAAATAAATGAATGCACAGAGAATGCTGGCGCTCATGGAGGCAGTGGGCCCAGACTCCTCAGAGCCCTAGGAAAGCTCACAGAGGCCTATTTCTGTCCTCTCACCTGGGGCTCCTAAGTGGTGGGGCCGGAGACCCATGAGCTTGGCAAACCGGGCTGAGCCCAGAAGAGGGCCTGAAGCCCCGTTCTGCCCACTTTTCCTGTCCTGGCCCTGGGGACAGCCCAGCCCCCAACATCCCAGTTGACCGTGGCCCTGGGACTTGTTGGGTTCTGGGCAGTTGGTACAACCTCCATGAACTAGGACTCTGGTCAAACCCAGAGAATGTTTCGGCTCCTTGCCAGAGTCAGGCTGATACACACTTAACTGGCGTTGTTGTGGCCTAAAAAAATAGGAGGCACCACGCTGCTGTCTCCATCGCCTGGAGGATGCCCTGGAGCCCCCCCTCTCCCCACCCCACTCCACACTTCTCTGTCATCTGCTCTGAGGAGCATGTCACACAGGAGGCCCTCAGCACTCTCATGTGCCGGGAACTCCAGGGTGGACCTCCCAGAGGGTGCATCAAAGATGGAAATGTTAATTTAGTTAAATCAACATTGATTTTGAAAAGGAGGTTAGTGCTCTAGACCAAGGTCACAGAAAATGGCCTTGGTTTCAATAGCAAGAGGTCAAATTGCAAACTGTCCATTTGAAGTTCAAGAGGGAGTGTCAAGTGGTCAGGGAAGGGTGGGAGCTGCACCTTCAGGACTGGGCTGCTTAGATAAGGGAGGAGAGGGGAAGGTAACCCAGGTGGAAAATGCGGGAGAATACATTCAACTAACTCATCAGCTCAGGTCCCCAAGGAGATGGGCAAAGTGTGTGTCCTTATTCCCCGGGTGACAAAGGGGAGCGGTATACCGACACAAGGAACCAGGGGCTCACATTCTGAATGTCCTCTCCAAAGCCCTGTAACCACAGGTCCCATCCCAGGGCCCCACCCCGCACCAGGGAGCTGAGTTTGGGCTGGATTTCAGCCCTCGTCTGCCCCTCGGTACAAACCGCCCAGTCACTGAGGCCTCACCTGCCAGGTTCCCCAAGGCTGAAGGCTGGGACCCTTTGAGATCTCAGAGTGTCCTTCAGGTGACAGAACTGGACTATTTGGTCCACTCCGGAGCAGGGAGGCAGGGGTTGCTGAGCAACTGCAGGCAAGTCCCCTCTCTCTGAGCCTCAGTTCATTTATTTGTAAAACATGAGGACTTTATCTAACATTTTAATAAATTTACCTCGACTTCATTCTAAATGGTCTAAAAGGGGCCATTTAACCAAAACCAAAGGGAACCCAGAGATAAAGAGCAAGAGCTTGTTGGCCCAGTGGTTGAGTACAAATTCTAGCTAAGCCCTTGCCAGCTGTGTCTTTGGGCAAATAACCTCACTTCTCTGTGCATCAGTAAACTCACTCATCGAATGGGGATGAGGAGTTTGCCCACCTGGAGGAGGTGCCATGAGAACTAAATGGGTTCCTGCGTGCCAAGTGATCAGAATGGTGTCTGCCACGTAGAAGGCTCCAGGGCATTCGCTGCGAGGCTCCTACTACCTGGCCTTGGCCCTAGCCCCCTGTTGTCTGAGGGACCCCAGTGGGGAGGTGGGCCAGACACCTGAGAGCACAGACACACTGGACGTCTAGCCTGGCCATGCCAGGCCTTAGTGGCCTAGCAGGCTGTGGGCGGGTGAGCCAGGGCCAAAGTCCAGGCCATGCTCAGCTCACCAGGCCTCAGTGACACGAGGTTGTCTCCACAGGCAGCCCGTCTCCCCTAGCACCCCAGCACAGCATCTGCCCGGAGCAGAGCCACTTTCTAATTTGTTCGGAGCCCGCCAGCTCGAGGCCACCAGGCCTCTGCCCGCTGGGCCCTCCTGGGCATCTGATCCCCTGCCCAGGCTCCACTGAGAGCTCCATCCAACTCGAGAAACAGTTCGTCCAGGCCCACTCTATCTGACCCGCTGGACCTGGAGCTTCCTGTCACCCCTGATGGCCGAGATTGTCCCTCCCTAAGCTCCTGGTCTTTTCCGGTTAGCTGTCCCCACCAAGGCCAGGGCTCTGGTCCGTCTTGTTCTCTGCTCTCTGTCCTGTACCCAGAACAGTGCCGGAAGAAGCTCGGTAGATGTGTGCTCATCGAATGAGGTGGAGGGGCCTGTCGAGGGCCTGGCCCTGGAGCGCGAGGACCCCCTCTCTGAGGCATGATCTTCCACCCTCGCCTGCTATGGATCCTCTGGGGTTGGTGCCGAAGGCCTCCTGGAGCTGCTGCTCAGGTGGACACACATGCCAGGGCCAGCCTGGCACTCGGAGAACCCCAAGGTTCCTGGACAGACAACCACCAGGTGTCCTCAAAGCCCCCTTGTCTACCTGCCAACATTCTGTTCTCTTCTCCAGGCCCAGCTCCCATGTCACCGCCTCCAGGAAGGAGTCTCTAATCTCAAGCTGGTCAGCGGCCTGGCTGGGCCCCCGCAGGCCCACAGTACCCCTGCTCAGTCTGCTTTGCAGAGAACTGGGTAAAGAAGAAAACACGACAGGAGACACGCTCCTCTTCCTGCCTGGCCCCTGAATGGTTCAGCCCCAGGGCTGGGGCCACCTATATAACTACAGAACAAAAAACGTGCGGTACACTGTTTAAGAAGCAGGAAAAATATGTCCTGAAAAGTACTAAAACATAAAACGTTTTCCTTCTGAGGTCTTTCTTTTGACTTCTCATAGTGTTTTGTTTGTTTTTTTATTTGCTGTTTAATGTCTAAGTACAGAAAAATTAAAAATTTAAATTATTCACATTTTGACATCTCATTCTTTACCATTCATCTTTATATTGTCCAATGCCAGTCTTGAGCACAACTATAAGAACATTTAACTTTTATGTACAATCACCAAATTTACACAATTCATATTGTGGCTTGTACGTACATGCATGTATGTGTTTTATTCTCGCCCAATAGTGAAAACACTGTGCAAAAGTGACTTAACTTTTTATTTCACTGATTGATACACAAACATCCACCCAACTCCCTCTACCTTTGGCTTATGACATGTAAGGAAGGACTAAAAGGAAAAGAAACTATAAGTTGCCCTATCTTTCCTTTTCCTTCGGTGTCATCATTTTGGCTAATACAGGGAAGTAACAAGTAAGAAAGGCTATGATGCGGTTCCTTGGTTCTTTGTGTTTCTTAGAAAGCCATTGCCATCTTTCTGCATTCGGAGCAAGGTCTGGTTTGAACAGAAAGCGGGACCTGTCATGGCCCCCAGTGGTTCCTTGATATGACATGCTTACCTTGTACGGGCTTGAGTCTCGCTGAACTCCTTCCCATCCTGGGTCCACCGGAATTCCCTGCCCTGTGGGGCATCACCAACGCTGTATGCGAATATGACGGCATGGAAGGGACAAACATGTCCTGAGTACCTGCTTTGTTCCTGCTCCTTCTCACTGTCGCGTTGGGTTCACTTACAAAACACACTTTCAAAGATAAAATTAGTAAGAATTTCAAGATGGCAACCACAGAGCATTAAACCAAGCATGGAGCCCTCTTGAGCACAGGGCCCTGTGTGGCCCAAGAAGCTGGCCCTGCCAGCGGGAGCACAGTTTGTTCATTGCCTGCTTGCACATCGTTCCACAGGGCTTGCTTTTTTCTGCCAGAATCCTAGTAGCCAAGCCCCCTGCCTCCCCCCCTCCCCCAAGGCCAGTCAAAGCCATTGCCCCCAGCATGGTCTCCCTGGGTCATGGGCCCAAGTTTCAGCTTCAGGAGCCCGTTTGCTTTCCCTCCACTCACTCCTCTTCTTGCCCAGAAACCAGAAGCCTTCCTCCCCACCCCTGCTGCTCATGAGCTGTGCAGCCTTGAGTCGCTACCTCCCCTCTGAGTCTCAGACGGCAGTGATGGGCTCCCCGACTCCACTCGCTCTAAGGGCTTGCCATCAGCCAGGTGTGTGTGTGTGGGAGGGGCAGTTGTCCTCTCTCATCCACCTCTTTGCCACACTTGGGGACATTTCAGGGAACTGTCAGTGTTCATAGTCACACAGACTTCACCTGGACCTGGGGCAGCCTGGCCCCCTTCCTGGGTAGGGGGTGTTCATCCCACAGTGCATTAGTTTCCTTCCCAGTCGGCGTTTCTGCTGGCACAGCCGTATTTTCAGCGCTGGCACTGTGTTCGTATTTAGGTCAGGCCTATTTTAATTCCACTGGGACTGATGCTGGGCTGAGACCGCTTTCCGGGGCTGACATGGAGAAGTACTGGGTTGGTTCAGCCCAGCTGGGCTGCAGAGAGTTTGGGGAGGTGGCAGAGGGAGGAGGGAAGGAGGTGAGGAGGCGGGCGGGCAGGGGCAGGTGACCTCAGCCCCCAAACCCTGACTCATCTGAGACCCCCCCCCACCCTTAGCTGGTGAGGAGGGGACACGGTTTATGTTCCACCAATGTGCAGTATGATTTTGTCAGTGATGCCCTCTCCTGCCTCAGTTTCCCCACCTGTGTCACACAGGGCTGCTTGGATGATGCTAGCCAGCATGTCTAGGTCCTTGTGTCCCTGTGATTAAAAGCTCAGGCTGCTACTTGCTAGCTGTGTGACCCTGTCAAGTTATAAAACCTCTCTGTGCCCAAATGTCCCCAGCTGTAATAGGGATAAAAATAGGACCAATCTCAAGAGGCTATTGGGAGTGAGATGACAGAAGGCACGTGAAAAAGTGGTCACGTGGCCCCTGCCTAGTACTCTGTGACTGCTTGGCAGGAGGTAACTGGTGGCGGTAATGTTATATTTATTACCGGTCATCCACACAAGGTGCTCCTCACCTCTCAGCCCCTCAGCCGAGACTGAGCCTCAGAGGCCGGGTGCTCATTGACATTCTGACCACCAGGCTCCGTACCCAGTCTGAGTAAACCTACCCCACGTCTATCACCAGATCTGGTAATTAATACCCTTGACGGTTTTTATTGGAGTGAAGCAGGACCTGCACATGACTTGCTTTTTAATTAATAACCAGCCTCCTTCCTCACTCCCCTCCCTCCTGCTTCTGTCCTTGAGGACAGGCTGGGGTGGGAGCCCAGGGTCGCCCAGGCCTGTTCAGCGACCTCTGGAGGGAGGGGTGCATGGCAGGGTACAGGGAGGCGGCCCTTGGTCATCTCCCCGCATACACCCCAAACCTTCCCTGTGCAGGACGGGGAGCCAGCTCTGGGTTGGGCCAGGCCCAGGGGATGCCTAGACGTGGCCTCTGACCTCAGGGAGCATGTAGCCCAGGGTGACCAGACCCACGGACACATCGATTCCAAGAGCAGGTACTATAGAAGTTTCTGGAAGAGCAGAGCTGGAAACAACCAGCTTGCCCTGGAGGCGCTGGGAAGGTGCCTGTGAGCTGATGCCTGAAAGATGACGTAGCTCTCCTGGTGGAAAAGAGGAGACAGCGCTGCTCCGGGTGGCAGGAGTGGCCTGTGCAAAGGCTCAGCGTCAGGGTGAGGCTGGGGTGATCAGAATGGGTGCTCCCTCAGCTAGAGAAATGGGGAGTGCTGGGGACGTGGTGGGACATGAGACGAGGGACCAGGCAGGACAGGCATGAGCACAGGGCTAAGAGCTTAGCTTTATCCTGAGGACAACAGGCAGCCTCAGCAGGTTACATACAGAGGAGTGACGTGGTCACATCTGGTTCTTAGAGTCACTGCTTGGGTTTCCAGTGTGTGGAAGGGACTAGTGGGAGCAGAACTGCAGCAGGAGTCCCCAGCTATTAAAGCCGGGGTGCACAACCAGGTCTGAGTCCTGGTCTCCCCACCAAGGGCCCAGGAGCCTGGACCTTCTCGGGGCATATGGCCTGGCAGCCTTCCTCCACTCTTAAACTTACCTCCTTCTTCCTGCTATTTTTAATGTAGCACCTTGTTGAGATTCAAACGAGCATCTCCAATCTGGGCTCCTTTGCATAATTTCCCTCAATTAACATTTTCAAGATGCCAATTAAGACAGCACACACCACCAAGTGGGGAACCCCTCACTTTGGAGGAACCCAGCTTCTCAGGAGAGGAACACGCTCCCTTAGTCCTGAAAGCCAAGTCCCAGACAGGGACTTGTTGAGCTTGATTGAATGTGCTTGGACAGGCCCTTGGCCCCTCTGGGCCTCAGTTTCCCCATTTGTGAAATGAGGGGGCTGGTGGCGTGATCTCTAAGGGGCTCTGCCCACTCCTGGCTCAGAAACCACACATGGACTCCTTTCCTCCCAGCAAACTTGTGAGAATGAACCCATTTAACAGATGAGGAAACTGAGACCCAGAGAAAAGGAAGGATTTGCTCGAGGTCCACTCAGGGCTTCAGTGTTGGAATTAGACCCAGTCCTTTCCTCTCACCCAGTAGGGTCTCCTGAGTTCTATGGGCTCCCAGGGTATTTGGGGAGACCAGACCCCCAGGGCAAAATGATGAAAGGAAAAGTGAGGCAAGCCAGAGCCACGGTCCCTGAGGACTGGGGCAGACAGGAAACCCTTCCTTTTTGTTCCTCAAGTCTCAGCCCCAATTTGCCTCCTTCAAGAAGTCTTCCCGGATCTTGCTTCTCTGAGTTACTTTATCACTTACTGTCCACGTTGCCCACCTTCACTTGATCCCCTCAGGTGGTCCTCTTCTCCCAGGATGCTCTGGTCTCCTTGCTGGACAGGGCTTCTCTGAGGACAGGGATGGAATCCCCGTCATTTCTGGCTTTCCTGCCTCCTGGACCCATGTGTGGCTTAGAAACACGGCTGGCAGTCCCTGACCGCCTGCATTTCCAACACAGGGCAGGACACTCCGTGTACACTGGACGTGTGAACGAGTGTCCAGTGCTCACACAGGTCCCCCTTTCCTCGGCTGGACTAAACATATCCCAAAGGCAGGGCCCAAATTATCTCCTCTTTTTTGGCAGACAAGTCCTACCCCATAGGGCTGAGTTTACTGGTGGTGCTCAGTAAAGCATTTGGGGATCTAGGTCACTTTGCTTCTCAGGTCCATGTCTCCTCGTCTGGAGAATGGGAATTCACAAGCTTTGTATGCAGGTCACTGTGTGCAGGGCACAGTCATAAACCCTGGCACCCACAGAGGAAGAAGATCAGACCATCCTCATCCTCTCAGAACTTAAATTTGGCTGGGGAGACAGACACAGCTAGGAATAAATACCAGGTAATTAGATGGATGCTCTGAGAAGGGCAAGTAGCAGGACATGGTGGGGGAGACACCAGCGTCTGAGCTGGACCTACAAGGATGAGGCCAGACTTAGAGGAGCAAAAAGCCTGAGCACAACTTAGGAGACAGGAGACAGTGCAGGAAGCATCAGGAATAATAAGTTGTCCAGCTTGACCCAGATGTGGGGGAGAAGGCAGGAAAGGGAAGCGGCAGAGCTCCTGGAGTGGGGGGTACCTCAATTGTAATGTTGGAGGGTTCTGGCACTTTTACCCACTTGGCTGTTGGTGTCTTTCCCATATGCCCTTGGCCAACCCGGAGTCACCTGCCAACAGCTTCCCATAACTCTGTCTGAGGGCAATGTCTGACCCCAGGTGAGTGCCTGAGCACCCTGAGGGACCCTCAGCCGTTGAGGGCGGGAGCTGGTGACTGAAACCCTCTCCCAGGGGCCCCCACTGAATGAGACAATCCTGAGGCGTG